TTTAGTCTTTAAATAATTTATAATGTGTACTTTTTCCATCATGCTCTCTTCCACAGTTAGGGTTTGAGATCAACTGCGGCACTGATAACAAATGCGTTGATAACCTGAAAGTGGATTTCAACTTCACCAGGTGAGGCACAGTTACAAAACCTAAGCTTTGCTTGTGTGTCTTGTTTTCTTCAAATGTGTTGTTATTTGCAAGCTGTACTTAATGCCACTTAACTTGTCCTTATACAACCATTATTAATATTTTTGAAACTGATGACGCTGTTGTTTTTTGTGCTACCCATATGGAAAAGAAATAGAAAAAACTTTTAAAAGACTTGCATGAGATGTGGCCTACTTCATATAGTAAATCACATAAGCCTTTTATGATTCATTATATGAAGTAGGCCACATCTCATGCAAGTCTTTAAAAAGTTTTCTTTTCCATATGGGGAACCAGCAAGTATTAGAATGTCAACTCAGTAAGAAAGGACGGATGTTTTTGTTTTTTTGTTGTTTTACATTTAGCATCAGTATCTTAGCAAAGCCATTTACCTTACTGTTTGAGCAGAAAAATAACATGGTTTATCAAAGCTCAAAGTGCATATATTTGATATACTGTGACAAATAGTATGGTTCTAGTCTTGTCTTGTTTTGCCTTGTTCTCATCGGGCTTTGTACTTTGCCAGATCCTCAGAGGTTAAAGTGGGTATTGAAGAGCTTTTGAATGTCACAGTCACAGTGGAGAACAGAGGAGAAAACTCCTACAACAGTCGTGTTATTCTCACGTACCCAGCTGGACTCTCCTACAGGAAGTTCACCATTCAGCAGGTAAAGCATCAGGATCGAGTCTGTTTTAGTTCATCACTGATCTGCTGCTCTTCCAATCCATTCAGCAGTCATTTTATTCCTAATAAAGGGAAGAATTGAGTGCAACTCCTTGGACAGTGAAGATGGTTTATCACGAGGAAGGACAGACTGCACTATTGACAAGCCAATTTTCAAGAGCAAAACTAAGGTTTGCTTTTTGATGCAATTTTCTCTTCTCACTTCTGCACAGTTTAGTAAAAAGATGTGAGGGAATCAAGATTTCTCTCCTTTATTTCAATTAAGGCTTTCTTCATTGTCTCCTATGGGATTGACACCAACAGTCGACTTGCGAGAAAGATCTTTGTCACTGCAAATGCCACCAGGTACTGTTGCTTTGGTACAGATACTCTTAATTTATGCAACAGCACCACAGATACAGAACAGATTTTTTTTTCTTTTCTCTTTCAGTGGAAATCAAGAGCATGCACCTACAAGTGAACTCTACAAAAATAAATCGATTGATGTAAAATACAGCATTTTTATGACATTTGAAAGGTGTGTGTTGTTATGTTTGTAACAAAAGAAATCACACAGTAACAAATGTTCTATTACATAATGTATATTTAAACCTCAAAATATGTCTGTTTAGCTCACTTAGCTATAACAATTTCACATTTGGGAAGAACGACTTGAGGAAACCAGTCCAACAGTCCGTTAAGGTAAAATATAACTATCCTCTTTAAAAGTTTATTGTATGATTTAGACCTAACTCTAATTCATTTTGTCCTTTTCTTCATTCATTTAGGTCACAAATGATATCAGAGCGCTTAATTTCACTGTGGTGATCAGGGTTCCAGTGAGGCTTGGTGAAAAAGACATTTGGGTGGATTTGAGCAGTCTACAGGTAATATTTATGTAATATATGTTTTAGCTGCTGAAACTACAAATAACTTTATTGTGGATGGATGCATATGGTAAAATTAAGACCAATAAAACTTAAATCAAACATATGTCAGATTCCAGACTGTCAGAAAAGAAATGACGAAAAACCAAGTGTCAGAGATTTTGTTCCAAAGATACAAAAGGATAAAGTGGTGGTAAGTATGCCTCTGCACTTTACCTGTTCAAATTTAACCTAATTGTAGATTTAAACAAACAAACAAAAAGCACATTACACTGGATCACAGCTTGTGTTGCATCTTCTCTTCTTTAAATCACAGGACTGCTCTGTAGCCACATGCAGAGTGTTCAAGTGCAACACGTTCCTGGAAAGACTGCAGAGTACGACGTATAAAATCTCTGCCAACATTAGTTCACGATGGATAGAGCAGGTAACTGGAGGGTTTTTGGGTTTAAATGAAAGATTTTTTTTTTTTTTTTACAACTGTTAAATCTTTAAGCTTTACATTTTCTCTTAGATTGGACTTCAATCTGCTAAATACCTCTTGACCAGCACAGCCAGTCTGGAGTACGACAAAACCCAGTACATCTACTTTTCAACAGGGTCTGACATCAATTCTCCTGTTCGCAGGGTGTGTACACATTATTTTCTCTTGTTTGACTTATTAAGAGTTTCATTGGTATCAACATCCTGTCACTTCATCTCTCAGATTGAGGCAGAGGTAGAAGTTTACCCTGAGCCAGATTTCACTAAAGAGATCGTTGGAGGATGTCTGGGAGGGTTGGCTTTTCTGGCCTTACTCACAGCTGGTCTGTATAAGGTGAAAGACTCCTCTTACACTTTTTCAACTAATCAGTTATAAAGGTTTTAGAGAACATATCCTGTTGAAAATAGTTTAATGGTTATTATATTTACTCATATACCTTGATTATTTTTGTTCATTTTTAATGCATGATTGTTACATTTATGTGTGGGGTTTTTTTTTCACTCCTAGGCTGGATTCTTCAAGAGCAAATACAAACAGATGATAAATGAAAATGCTGCAGATGGTCCGAGTCCTGGGACTGATGCAGGCGCAACCCTACCAGAGTAAAAAAGATCACATATGTAGTTGTACATTTAATTTATATGAAATCTATAGACCCTCCGGATAGTTTTAGGAGTGAACATGGTACGTAGTAATGTCCATTCTACTACATTCGAACAAAAACAGCTTGCTGTGTCTAATATCACTCATTCAGTTTCCTCACTGGTGGTCAAGACATTGAAAACAGGGTCACAATACTATATTTTTGAGGAATCTTTCTGCTCATCTTTCAATTTAAATTACTGCAAACATTGTACAGTGAAACTAATTGTCATGCCATTATGTACTGTAAAACTTTTCAAATTCAATAGATATAGTTAAGAAACACTTTGCTTGCTTTAAAAAAACAAAACAAAAAAAACAAACTGAACTTGTGAAATGTGACTTGCTTTGTTGAGAAAGAATGGACAGGGTATGCAATGTTTTAGCTCTGTGATGTGACTTTGCATAAAAAGTATTTCTCATACAGTGTCAGTGTTTGTCATTTGCAAAATGTAAAAAAAAAACTGTTTTTTGGTTTCATATGATGAAGTTATAATTAGAAAGATAACAGCAGTTTAGAGTAACCATATACTCATATCATAAGTTTATTAAAAAAAACAAACAAACATATTGTCATGTTGTCTTTGATGCGTTGTCAATCATCCAGATAAGAATATACTTGTAGACATGACAATATGGGCTTGATAACATGAAACACACAGACAAGAAATACAAGTAATACTGACACAGAGGACAAGAGCAGACTCACACAAAGGGATTTGGATGAAAACCTAAACTAGAATAGCACTCAGCTAAATCCTAACTGATAATACCAACACAAGACTAACATATTTTCAATATAATATAAGAAATCAAAAATACAAAATGAACACAAAATACTGTGTCACAGAAACAGCAATTCGAAACAACAACATTGCAGACGTGGAAACAAAGCAACTGTGGATGGAAGTTTCAGCCTGTCTTAGCAATCCAAAGCACCCAGCATCCAACATCAGTGTGGAGGAGAGGAAGGAACTTACCTTGGATTTTGTTGAAAAGATGAGAGAGGTCATTATGGAAGCAGATGAAACAATGGTCTCGTATGATGTTACATCTCTCTTCACTGGCGTTCCAGCCACGGAGAGATTACAGCATGACCCCAAATTCAGCAACAGGACTACTCTCAGCAGCGACCAAGTGTGATTGCTCTTTGAACTAACAGTATGAGGGACTTTTAAAAGTTGATGTGTACCATAAAGCAATGCATAGTGATCAGCATTTAAAGTTTGACTATCATCATCAACTGGAGCACAAACTGGGTGTCATTAGGATGCCACAACACAGAGCGAACACAGATGTCCACAGACACAGCGGCCAGGAACATCATATCAAAAAGGCCGTGAGTAAATGTGGTTATCCCAGCAGGACATTTGTCAAAGCTGGGAAAGCACCTAAAGAAAGCTCCAGGTGATCCAGGAGAGACGAAGGACAACTGCTGTTTAAATGAAAACCCTTAGTGATCCCTTATGTGTCAGGATTATCGATTCAGTTCAATTTTATTTATATAGCGCTAAATCACAACACAGCTACCTCAGGAGGCTTTATATTCTAAAGTAGACCTTACAATAATACAACAGTTGTGAAGCATTTTCTCTAAACACTGCATCTCTGTGGGTTTTAAACCCTAAAACACGCAGCGCTAAAATAGTGTCTAGGATCTGGTCCTCCGGCACAAAGTAGAGTAATATAGGAGGATTGCCATTACATTGTATCATATATTAAACAACCTCTGGTGAAGTGGATGGCACAGTACAGAAGAGCTAACTCGTTAGGCCAAGCCTCCGGTCTAGTCACACCTACAGACCAGTAGCCACTCTTTCAACCATGAGGATGTACACATCCTGGACAGGGAGGAACGCTGGTTTGAGCACTGATTAAAGGAGGCAATTTACATGAAAAGGGAGAGACCATCTCTGAACCGAGGAGGGGGCCTAAGGGCAGTGCTGGTCAAGTTACTTGAAAAAAGTAATCAGTAACTAATTACTTCCCCAAAAAAGTAATCCCGTTACTTTACTGATTACTTATTTTCAAAAGTAATTAATTACTTAGTCAGTTACTTTTTTCAAAACACGATTTACAACCCAAATAGGTGATAAAGTGATAGATCTTTGAGCCCAATTCTACTTTTTCTGCATAATCCATCATACAAAATGTAATCAAATGGAAAAGTCTCTTTTTAAAACTTTTATTAGTTTTAATCTTTTAACGTTATGCATCAAGCAAAAATTTAATTATATGCAACATTCTCTGACTGGAAGAAATTTGTTTAACATTTATTTTCTGCACATTCCAGGACATAAAATAAAAAAAATTTTGTGTTTACACTCACTCTTTCAAATTGATGCAAGTAAAACACAGCAGAAAATAAATAAAATCCAAGACTAGCGGTCCTGTTGCTCTATCACCTGTAAAGCAGGAGTGGGGTAGGTGGAGGTTTGCACTGGTGCAGGTGTGCCGCAGCGGTCAGGTGAAGAATCCGCGAGTTTCTCTGTGAATTTCCCATTACGTGGTAGTGCACTCGGTGCTTGCTTGGAAGTTTAGGGTTTTTTTTACCACTATAAAATGAAGTTTTCTTCCCACACACAATGAACGCTAATGTTTTTGTCACTTTATGGAATCAAACTCAAAATAAGGTCAGTACTTCCACGCTTTAAATGCTGCATGCTCATACTCTATCCATTGTTGATCTGCACACAGCTGTTGTCACGAATGTCGCACTCGCTTACGTAACTGTCATGAGACATTCTTGCAAAAATAAAAAAAACAAAGAAAACCCCCCAAAACCCCCCCACGGTTTTAGTAACGCAGTAATGCAGCTTGCTTACGAGAAAGTAACGTAATCTAATTACCCTTTTTGCAATAGTAATCCCTTACATTACTTGTTACTTGAAAAAAGTAATCGGATTACAGTAACGCGTTACAAGTAACGCGTTACTGCCCATCTCTGCCTAAGGGTACATATTTCACCATCTTACAATGTTGTGACTGCAGACATTCCCTAACTCTCTGTGAATGGTACTCATGTTCTCTGATCAGTAGTGATTGATCAATGATCAATGAGCTTTGATCAATGGTCACGACAATATGCATATTAATGATCTAGAAACTGACCTCACAGCCTATTACTCGCCAGTGGTGCGAGTTTCAGTCATTGTGCAAAGGTACTGTTTATAAAGTTGGGGAAACCTGCAGACAGCTGAAACTGAAGAAGTCACTTGAATGAGTGACAAAATGTTTCTCCCACCGAATTGGCTACATCCAGATGAACAGAATCAAATTTTTGGGATAAAGCCATCTTATTGTAATAAATGTAAAGTAATTTGAAGTGGTTGAGACTATATAAGCTAGATTCTGTGCTGTGGTGACGGAGAACCATGGGTAGGACATGATGGAAACCTTCGAGCTATTTTAACTAACACCTATCAAACGTTATTGCATCCCACTCTCATAACCCATGCCTGTTGTTTAAAACTTCTGACTCTGTTCTTAATGCCTCAGTCTGTCTCTTTTGAAAACTCCCGAAAATGTGTAATACATTTTTGAACTTTTTTTTATTTTTTTTATTGGTGACTCTGATCCTCCAGTTCTTCCCTTGATGCTATTACTTCTTGATTTTTTGAGGAGATTTTTCCTAGAGTAGTGTGGAATGTTTAGCTTATTTTAGAGTTTAGAAATGTGTTATCATAGAATGTAGAACTATTGTAGAGACATTGATACTGCCCTTAAAGTAATAAAGGCCTCACTGTGTCGTGAACTTAGGAGTAGATTGTAGGAGACCTCTCCCCCACTGAGTGGAAATTCCCCAGAGGATGTCTTAGGGTGAGGGTCTCAACATTTCTAACTGGATAACTGTGGTTTGGAAGGGAGAGGGGTTTTATGACCTCTAGGGAGTTACCTACACCCACAGTGTTTTAACTGTCACGCACACACATCCACACGCACACTCACTCATGTGCACTCACACATACACACAGGTATGCGTACACAGTCACTCATGAGCACTCACATAGACAAGTGGGAACGCGCACATGTAGGCATTCATGTGCTCGTGCACATAGACACAGACAGAGTTTGCAGCACACCGTAAGGGGTTTTATGATGGGGTCCCGTCTATAAAACTGTGTTTCACAGACAAAGGGGTGAAGATTTTTGCAGAGGGACACTGGCCTCGTCTTCCCTTCTAGAAGTGCATGCTTAAATGAAGATGAGTAAAAGATGAATAAAGATTTTGTGAAAATGACTACTGAGTCCGGTGCCATCTCTGGATGCTCGAGGAATAAAAGAACGTGGGTAAAACTGATTTCTCAACAGTAGGTCTGGTGGTTCTTGCCATGATTAAATGCAGTGTCTTCTGCTGTGGTCTTTCCATATTTTAAACATGCAGTAATGCAACTTTTTTTTTTATTAATAAACCTGATCTTGATCAAACTGTGCTAATTTTAGGCCTCTCTCTAAACTACCTTTTCTTTCAAACATTTTAGAGAATATGGTTTTTATTCTGGTGAAGACTTTTTGAAGAGTTGGTGATATCCTTCAATGTACAGAGTCTGTCTTAATCTGTTGCTGGTCTTCGCATGTTTTGATGCTCTGAGTGATGGAAGTGATCTATCAGCTCTCTGCCCTTTGAGGTGGAGTTTGGAGTATTTTCTACTCCCTGGCTGGACCACCTATGGCTCATTGGTCTAATTAGCTGCAGCACAAATGAACCAGCTCTGATAGTCATTCCCCATCAAATTATCAGCTACTCCTTATTGTTCATATATCGTTTTTCATGAAAGTTCCTTGTATGAAGTGATGACTGCTGCTCGCCTCAAGTGTGTGGTTCCAACCTCTTCCCGTTCTCCAATCAAGCACATACTTGCTTGCTTGACTTCTTGGTCCCCTTCAACACTTCCTTCTCAAACCACCACTGATAAGGAATGTCTGTGGTCACTGGACATTGAAATTTTATCTTTGAGTATGCATCCATATTACTTAATATGTCGCTTCAAGGTATATGCATATACATATAATATACAAGGCACAGAGAAAAACCCAACAATCATCTGACACCCTATGAGCAAACACTTTGGCGATAGTCAGTAGGAAAAACTCCCTTTTAGCAAGAAGAAACCTCTGGTAGAACCAGGCTCAGTAATGGACAGCCATCTGCCATGACCATTTGGGGTAAGAGAAGAAAGACAAGACAAAAGACATGCTGTGGAAGAGAGCCAAAGGTTAATAACAAGTAGGATTCAAAGCAGAGAGGTCTATTAACACATATTTAGTCACCTTTCTCACTCACTAAGAAATACTCCATGCATCATGGGAGTCCCCCAGCAGCCTAAACCAATTGCAGCAGAACTAAGGGAAGATTCAGGGTCACCTGGTCCAGTCCTGACTATCTGCTAAATTTAAGCTTAATCCTAAAAGTAGAGATAGT